CACATCGCTTATGTTTAGACCATTAACTGGAGCTTTTACCTCCAGGGATCCGCTGACAAAAATGCTGGACAACAATAAAGGCGTTTCCACGTGCTGCTCTCCCAACGGATTAATCTGAGGATGCGAGTGAATGTTCTGGATTACTGAGTACATAGTGGCGTATTTAACTCACCATTAAAGTGTTGGCATACTCCTTGGATAGATTTTGACCATTTACGTTGCCCCTCACCACCAGCTGCCCATCTAGGAGCAAATCATCTGCCTCTAGGGGATCCCTTAGGTGTTGCTCCGTGAAGCGGGTGACAACCAGTGAGAGATTAACTTGGTTAAGCTCCTCTACTTCCAAGAAATTACCGTCCAGCGATCCCTTTGCAAACGCAACTGCAATGCACATATGATATAATGGGATTATCAAGAAATAAATCTAGTACTCACGCCTAGGTTCTCGGAAATCGCGATCGACACGTATAGTATCCCGGAGCCACTGGCTTACGTTGCATCCATTGAGCAGCTCTCCCGACAGTACAAGGCGATCTGCCTCAAGATGATCCATTCTAACATCAGCCGCAAAGCGAACAGGTGTTTCCAAAAGCATCTCCCCCTGTGAATCTATATAGATTAGATTATCTAGGAACTGTTCTAGGTTGAGTCCATTGAAGAATGTGATGTGTGCTCCATCTTCAATGCGAAGACGCCCTGTGAAAGTTTTGTGACCGTGCAAATGTATACCACGTTGCTGCTTCAAGATTAGCTGATCAAAGAGCTCCTGAACGGGCTCACTGCTGCGATTTTTCAAGTGGCCCAGAACCACTAGGCTTTGTAGCTCCTTTTTTGGAAGTTCGACGACTCCCCGATGCACAAAGCCTCGCGCGCTGGGATCCCAACGGAGTAGTTCCTCCAAATCAACAAGAAAGTCCGGATCCCCGTTTACTTGACCATTTAGCTGCAGATCCTCCACAAAGATGCGTCCCTGAATGCGAACATTTCCAGTGAGGTGCAGTGGATTTACATTGTTGGCCACATGACTGAAGGGAATCCCATTCAGCGCAGCCAGATTAAGTTCTCTTATGTATACAGGAGCCAGGAAGCTTTTGGTGCCCTCGATTAGCACCTCGTGCCCGTCGGAGCGCGGTACGATGTCATTCAGCAATTCCGGGAGCAGGCGCTCGTTGAAGCTGCCCAGAACTTGGAGGTTCTGCTGGAACTGGGGGGATTCTTTCAGAATCCAACGCGTCCTTAGATCATTCTGCCTATCCAACCAAACGACTTGCCTCTGAAGTTCGTGGAAGGCTTGCATGTTCAGGGTTTCAGCTGCTTGCACTGAACCGTTGACGGCGATGCGCTCAACTTGGATGCGACCCTGAAGGATCAGCAGCGGTAGCTCGTCCAGTTGCTGCAGAAAATCCAGCAGAAGTTCTGCCTTAATGCCTTGCAGCTGGTTCGCTTGCACACCCTGGGGAAGAATTAGCTCCTGCACGTGCACTTCACCCGACCAAGTCCAAGGCTGCTCCTGTAGAGTATTGCTCAGCCTTCGTCCATTGAGGAGTCCGTTACCAGCAACATCATTGTTAACCTGCGCTTGCCCAGCCTCCAGACGACTAAAGTTCGCTCTGCTCAGATGGAGCGGTGCATGGATGAGCTGGTAGCCACTTGACAGCGGCACCTTGTTCAAGGTGTTATCAACTTGTAGCCGGGTGAAATTGGGCGCAAGCCCAACAAACCGAAGGCGTGTGTGGGGAGAACTCAGAGGAGTCGGCCCATCTAGTCGCAGACTTTTTGAGAGTAGTTGCTCTAGGCGAACTCCGTCGTAGGAAGACTCTTTTCCAAGCTCCAGCTGATGGAAGTAAACAAACCCTCCCAGTTGGGTCAGATTCGAAAGCGTTTGTGGCGTGTGCTTGGTAACAAAGTCATTGAGGGAAATTCCACTGAGCAGATTATCTGCAACATGAGCATCTACTGGCAAAAGCAACTGGTCAACCCGCTTGGGTCCACGTATCTGCAGTTCTTGGTCGGAGTTCGGCGAACGCTGGACGAGATCTCCGAGCAGAGAGTCAAAGCTGTCGTTATCCAGTTTTTGAAGCAGCCGTACAGGGCCGCGCACAAAAAGCTGGTCAAAATGGCAGTCGGCACTGATAACACGTGACTCCAGCAGAGTGGGATTTAAAGGTGCGTCCTCGAACTGCCTTCCCTGGGCGCTACCGTTGAGCTACTTGGTGATATGGACTTACTTATAAGAACCAATGGACAGCCATTCCAATACGTACCTCTAATTCCTCAGAAACCTCCAAATGGGAGAAGGTTACCAAGCCCGGCCATTCCTGGGAATCACTGAGGGTAATGACATCTTGCGGATAAACCGCGTTAATGGTTCCCGACGTGTCCACGGCGTTTGCAGCTATTGATAATATGAAGACTTAAAGGATATTCGTCTTTTCCGCTTAAAATACTTACAAAGCGTTTGTGTAAACTCCTTCGGTGCCTGGACAACACTCGTCTCATTTCCCTGCGACCAGAGATAGTCTCCTGGAAAGCTTAGATCGTTCAGAGAGTGCAAATTGAGTACATCTTCGAAAATGACCGGCTGTAGGATGTCAAATATTAAATAAGCAATTAAAAACACTGCCGAATGATCCACTTACTCCATCTACATGCAACTGAGAAAGCTTGAGAGGCTGATGACGCCACACCAGATCTTGAAGCAGCTTGTCCCACTCCATTTCGTTGATAAAAATGCAGTCCAGATCCGTAGCCAACTTCAGAGATTCGTAGGATTCTGTACCCTCGACTGGAACGAGCTCGACTTTGGGAGCCTCCAGAAGTTCCAGTTGCTCAACATTGAGGGTTCCCAGTGGCAAGTCCAAGGAGCCATTTCGGATATAGAACGTCGCATGGTTGAGCTGCTCCAAGAAGAAGTCCACAGTTTCAATGTCTTCTACTTCAAGTTGCTCGTAGTGAAAGTTGAACAGCGTCTCTGGCTGGCGTTTTGATCGCCTAGAACTCAATTCCCTGTCCAACACAAGAATCTGCTGAAGCAGCGAGTTTATATCCACAACAGCATCAGCTCCCGTCCAGCGCGCTTCGTTAACAAACAGTTCCTCAATGGTACCGCCCTCGCTGACAACCAGTGGAGTCGATAGCTCCTCATGGTAATGGCTTTCCGATTTATCCTCCACCAAGAGCTCCTCAGCTAGTTGGATCAGCTCTTCCTGTTCGTGCACCCAACCCTGCATGAACTGGCGTATCTCCAGCAGGTCCTGTGTCTCCGAATTCCTAGCCAGCAATTGAGTTTCCAGCCGAAAAATGCCCGTAGGAGCCTCTTTCCTGGGCACCAGGACCAGCGGCGGCTGATTTAAGCGGCGTACCAGGACAGCTCCTGAGATGCCAGCCTCACGATCCTGATCCAGCATACAGCCCGCTCCATAGGTTGTACCACAAGGTGGCGGCAAGCCGGCCTCGAAAGCCTCACCGTTCCAAACCAAAACCTCCAAATCGAGCAGTGAGTGTGTCTCAAAGGCAACTCGATGTTGCACAAGCAGGAGTAGGTCATCTCTGTAGCTGCGCACGGGAATGGGGAGGTAGTGGTCTACAAATCCAAAGTTCTGGCCGAGAATGGTGCGCGGCACAAGCTGGCCCTGCACGTAGACTAGGATCTGCGGCAATATTCCACCCAGCGCCAGATAGCTGCGTCCGCCCATTTGAAAGGCAGTGACGCCGGCCACCTCGGGGGCATTAACTTGTTGGCGCAACTGCAGCGGTTGCCCCTTCGGACTGCAGGCGTATATTAGAACCTCGTCCCACTGACCCACTGCCAGGAGCAGTTCCCTACCTGCATCAAGAACGGCCAGGTTGGAGATCGGTTCTGCCATTTGCACACGTTGTGCGATCCAGAACTCCTCCGCCTCGAGATCATAAACGTAGACATTAAGCGTGCGATTTGCCACGAGAGCGAGGTAATCCTGTCCCTCTAAGTTGAAGGCTCTAATCTCGGTCACATTCGAGCCAATAGACCAGTGCCAGATGGGTTTTAGCCCAACGCTGGGCTCCAATCGCAGCCATATAAGCTGATCTTGGGAAGCCATAACCATCAAACCCTCCTGCATATGCAGTCTCCTGTTCCAGCGATCTATTCCGAGGATAGCGGTTGTGGGAAAGGGGTGGATGTAGGGCTGCAACGGGCTAAATTCTTCGGAAAGAACCAGGAGGCCCTCGCGCTGCTGACCCATTAGGTAAACGCTTCCATTGGCCTGCAGTGTCAGCCAGCGATCCACATCCATCGGCATGCTATAGTTAAGGAGCTCCTCAATGCGACCCAGAATTAGCATATCGCGGGTGCGCCTCTTGGACAGCTCCAGGCGCTGTAGTTGTTCCAGATCAACGTTTTGCGATGTCGAGTGCGACTCAACCACATTGGCTTCCTGTACATTTGCGGCCAGTAGCTCCTGACGGGACTTGGACACCTGAGCCGGGCTCTCCTTGCTGCTGCCCCTTGCCTTCAGAAGAGCTTCCAGCTGGAGGACCTCTTGGTTTTGTCCCTGGTGGGCCACCGCCTGCTGAATCTCCTGGCGAATGGCGGAGGCGCTGCTCAGAGAGCTGTGGTTCACCACCACCTTGGAGCCCTTTCCAGGCGGAGGTTGGCCTGCCTGCTGGGTCCACGTGGGCGCCACCACCACTCCTGGCTGGGATTGGGCTATAAGTGTTAAATGAAAAGGGATCCAAACGCGATTTTACTTACTGGTGCTCCATCGTCGTGCTCTAGAGCTTTTTCTAGTTCGCCTCGCAGCTTGGCCACCTCTGCCTTTTGGTCGGCGAAGGGCCGCGGGGGAGAACTGGCTATTAATGCTGGCCAGAGCAGCAGGTGCCAAATTAGCATTTTTCAAACACTTAATTAACAAAAAAGCAAACACGTGAGGCAGAAATACAAGGAAAAAACTTCAAACCATTTACCGTTTTGTAGCGGCGCTGCCAGATCGCCAGAAAACTTAGCGAAGCCACACGCCGCGGCAGTGTTGCCGGAACCGAGCAGTTTGGGTATTTGGTCACTTTGCCTTTATCAATTTCTGGTCTGGTTATCAACTTCCCTCAATTTCATTCGTGTTTTGAATTCGCTGCGAGCGGACGCGTTTTATGTTTGAAGCGATTGTGCGGCGCGCGTTTTCGCATGGTACAAACGTTTGAGTGCAACAAATCGGCGGAGTTGGCCGACAGTGATCGGCCTTAAATGGGCTTCTGCTGAAGAAAAGTGAGTCTTAGGGGTAACGGTAAATGTGTTTTTTGTGCAAGTTTGTGGCTGCATTTTTTTTAAGTGCGCGGCGTTTTGCTTTTTGGGCGTGTGCCAAAATCATTGCTGGAAAAAGGGAGCAAAAAGGAGTTGCAGGAGAGAGAGAAAGAGTGAGACAGAGAGAGAGAGAGGCGCTGAGAGCCTGCAAGCAATTCCCGTTTTACCGGGGTTGCGATTAATGCACTTATTGTGTTTATATTGCTCTACGAATTTCCATTATCTTGGGCGTCCGCTTTTGGGCCACTATTACCGTTATCTAGGCACAGCTCCTGTTTACCGTTACTGTGTGAGTGTGAAAAATCAATAAAATTCCCTGTGCGTGCGCCCTTGTGTGTGTGTGTGTGTGTGTGTCCAGCAGCCGGCTGACGTTGCTCTCTCTTCCCATCACTTCCTCGCTCTCACTTGCTTCCCTAGTAACTGTTCCTGCATCAACAACAACAGCAGCAGCAACAATAACAACAGCAGCAGCAACGCAGCTGCTATTAATTTTGTTGTCGAAAAACGAACAAATTGCGTAAGTTAGTTAAGCTCGCGTGTTTAATTAGTTTAAAGTAACGCTAATGAAACTCGGCCAGCTCAGTGTTGTTGTCTTGCTGTCACCTTCGCTGCAAACGAATGAGCAAACAAAAACAAAAGCAGCAATATTAATGGGACGACGGTAAACAAAATGCGCGAATAAAAGAAGAAAGAGAAACGGAAACAAATCCATGGAGGCTGTGGCGAGCGGAAGAAGAAGAACTATCTTCTAATTGCATAATTGGAACTCGAACCTCTTTTCCCCGCCCTTCCCCCTCCCTCGACCCGCTGAGCCCTAATCCAGTTTGTTTTGCTTTTGTATTTCGTTCTGCTCGAACTGCTTCCTCCGCCCAATTTCGTGCACTTTTTAGGGAATCAGGGAACTTTTGGCAATGACTCACGTTTCTCGCCGAGTGTCATAAGCGTGACTCACGGCCATGACCCCGTGCAAATGTGGCTGCCCTCCCACTCGCGCCTCCTTTAAGTGCGTCCTTGAGATACGAATCTCTCTCGAGTGGGCACTCAACATGCGAGGCAGAGGAGAGAGAGAGGGTGCGAAGGGAGCGACTTGAACTCCTTTTTGGCGCCCATGCCGTCACTTTGGGGCGTGGCCTGTGCCCCTTGGCGATGAGCTCACCAGCAACAACAACAGCGCATTTACCCGGGGAGCAATCCCCCGAACAGCGCACAGGGGATAAAAGCGGGGAGGAGGAGGCGGAGGAGCAGGCGAGGCGAGGCTCACGAACTTGACATTGAACTGCGCTCGGGATTATGATCCGCTCGGAAACACTCCCTCGATCCCCCCGTTCTTTGGGATCCAGATCCCGGACATCGGAGCACGATTTCGCGTCATCGCTTACGCTTTTGCTGCTTAATCTTGGATCGTTCTGAAACCATTCCGAATACATTGGTGCTCACATTTGATAAACACATCATCTATGAATCAGTTAGCATGAATTCTTAGCATGAATCACTTAGCATGAATCCTTAGCATTAATCATTATCAACTATAAATATTTGTTCTAAATCATCTCTCACAATCTAGTTACATTGTGCATTCCAAAGACCTTGTGCCCACTCTTATAGATCTTGCCTCGCGAAGTAGCAAAACAAGCATGTACACCACCTCCAGAGCAGGGCATTCAGGAATCCTTGTGGCCGAGCCCAACAGGAGATGCTGCCGCCAGCAGCTGGCTGCCGGCAGTTGGTGCGGATTGTCGGCCTACCCAAAAAAAGCAGGCAGCAAAGCTGGGAAGCAAGATCTTGGAGAGGTTGGTGCCCTTTTTGGGCTGCGCCTGCGCATAAAATTCCTCGGCGTCCTCTTCGATCCGCGCGTGCGTGGCGTTCCGCTCTGCTGGTGGGAACGGAGGCAGGAGTCCTCGTGGCGCAGGGGCAGTAAACCTGCCTCCAAAGGGGCAAACCCCAAAGCCAATGTCGAGAATCGAAGGCGAAGTTAATTTATCGCTCTGAATTCGCTGTTTTGTTTGGTTTTGCTTTTGCTTATGCGAATTTTTTATTTTGAAAGAGGAGAGTTGTAAGATTACCATTTTAAGGTGTTTGTTTATCGGTTCGTTGACAACACGCGAAAACATTCGCAAGTGGGATTCGTTGTGGTTCCAGGGAATTCGGAGCTGAAATCGGAGATTTCTTGTACCAGAACCCCACGATTTTGCCTAACTCGCATTCCCGCTTTTGCTTACTTTGCCAAAAGTCCGAAATTCTCCGATGGGAACCAAATCTGGTATAAATAATTACAGACTTCTTGGTTGTTTGATTCAAGCGTAGAACCGTTTGTTCTTTCAGCCCATTCATCTCGATCGGTTTCTCTTGTTTGTCCAGCGCTTCAGGTCTTTACCTTTCGTTTCCCCGCCAAGGGTGTTTGAGCACCTCGAACCAAATCGGCTCAAATTAGCATTAATGGCCTGGCGACGTCAATTAAACTCCGCTCGGTTCTTGATTGTTCAAACGCTAACGGAATCCGACAACTCTGGGGTGACCCGATGGCACATTGATTGTGCTGCTGCTGCTGCTGCTGATGCCTCGATTCATAAAGTTTATTGCTCCAAATTTGCCAAATCTAGCATGAAATCTCTTGCCGACAGGCAATTGATGGGACGAACCTAAAGGGGTACGGCACATGGGCGCTAACTCCGCGCAAACGCCAGTAAAGAAGTGGATTGGGAATTGGAGCACCAGAGCAAATCGATCGCCCATCGTGCAAATTGCAATTAAGGGTATTCAGTGTATGAGATGCCATTCGAATGTAGTATAGTAGTATAGCGGCAGATTGCTTTATTAACTCAATTGAAACTCATGCAAATTTAGCCTGGAGGTCGGGATCAGCCTGAGATCATCTTCTAATTTCGGAAGGGGAGGTGCGAAAAGTCTGTATTCCTAGAAACGGAACTTGTTTTGACGATGGCACTATACACTTATTCCCCGCCTGCTCTTTCATTCTATGAATGCAAACTTTTGAATCTCCCCCCGGGGGAACGTAAGTTCAGAGGCAAAGGCACCCTTTTGCTCCCCTCTCGTCCTTCCCTCTCCGCCAATTTCATAGGGGAGAAGCCCTATGACGACCGACCAGCCCCAGACACTCGACACTCAGACATCCAGCCACCCAGACACCCAGACTGGCAGCCAGTGACATGTGTACATGCGAGTATAGTAACTACGGGGCTGCAAAATGCACTCGACAGTTGCAGTTTACCGCTGTGGTCTCAATTAATTTCGCATTCAAATTGCCGGCAATTGAAACTAGGCAAAACTGATTTCATTAATTGCGCACTTTTCTCCCGATATCCGTGCTCTAGGTTCTGCTTCGGGCTTTTCTTTTTGCGTTCCACAGTTGCAGTTGCAGTTGCAGTTGCATCGCTATGTTTATATACAACATACAATAAAAGTTGAGACTTCGCAACAGGTTTTTCGATGCTGGGTAACTTGAGATGCGCCGAAGAATGTTGCTCCTCTATATTGACTAAACCATAGCATGACACACATAAATGCACGCCTAGAATTACGCATTCCCAAAACAAATAAAGGCATATTTGTCATTATTTTGTAGGGCACCTTCGTTCTCTGGTTTATTTATAAACTGCCAAGCAATTAAGTTGAAGTTCTTTATTAGTGCCAGGGGATGCCGAAAGCGAAAAGAAAGTGGATCTAATTTTGGCTCCAACGCTTGGAAATATGATTTGACAGCAGAGTTCAGTATTCAGTTCAGTATCCAGACGTCGAAGAAAGTATTGTTCCTGCTTCCGTTCAATAGTGCAATCGATACGATTTCAGCGACATTCCCTCCCCTTCGTGGTCCCGTTCCCATTCCCAATCCCATTCCCGATCCATTTCCATTTCCATTTCCATGCTGCTCATCTCGAGTGCCTGGGGAGTAGAAGTAGAAGCAGGAAGCGAACTAAATATAAATCCAAGTCATGGCCAGGCCACCATATGTGGGTTGTGGCATGGTCGCGGAAGGCGTGCGCGGGGCGGGGCGGGGCCGGAGGCGGGGGCGCTACTTCGGATGGTCCCTACAAGGCGAAGATGCTGGTCCCGGTTCTGCCGACTCCCTCGTGCGCAGTACCAAAAGCGGGAAAGCAGGGTGAGCCGGCGAGTGGGGGGTAGGACGTCCATTAAATGATTGCCACGATCTATTAGCGGACGAGGACGAGGGAGGATTGGCAGATCGGAGGATCGGCAGATCGCCAGATCGACAGCTGGTTAAAAATAGAAGAGGGCCAGCCGGCAGACGACCCGCTCTCTTTCGGAATCTTGATTTGCGTCTGCCGCTGAAAGGCCAAGCGCCAGGCAATTGCACGAAGATCCCAAAGGGAGGGATCGAGACTCCCAGTTCCTGTTACCAATCGAAATTGAAGGGCTTTGCACTGGGAGAAAGCGGAGAGCTATGCGCGCCCAAGACTTGACCACCCATTTGGACAGCCATTAAATTTTGTCCGGTGCATATGTCTATACGATGTCCGCCTGATCTCTTGTCTTCTCTGATATGTTCTACGTGAATGTCGATTCCCTGACATGCAAAACGTAATCTGAGTTCGATTGGCAGGGGCAACAGTTGTGTGCGTGTTTGATGGTTCTTAATAATTGATATCGAAGTACAGAATGATCGATGGCGACTAATAACAGGGGAGCAGCCATTAGAGCCCCCTAAAATGTCCAACATGTTCTTTGAATTCAACCATTTGCCTGCCCCAAATCTGAGTGTTATCCAGTGTGTTTTACCCACCACTGCCTTTATCGGACTCGCAAATATTTCCTCATTTCTGTATTGCTGGAAAGGGGCTGAAAGCCTCTTATCGGTGGCAAATGTTTGAGCGGGCAGAGATTATTTGAGATTCGCATTTTTGGTGCGCGTTCGCATTTCCTTCTACGTGCCACTCGCTGCAGAGGTTTTGTCCCCATCTGGGGCTTTGTTCGCCTGCCTTTGGCGCTGGCCTTAAAGCTGCGCTAATGAGCGGCAGGTGGGGCAGCGGAGGGGCCAAAGGGCGTGTCATTGACACTGAGCAGCAAATGCTCAAGCAGGATGCAGCTCCAAACTCCGTCTGAACGGGCGTCTGAACAAGCCCAATGACCTTTTGAACATCCAACCCCAACCAACGCCAACCAACCGCCCCGTTGCATGGCTGCATTCCTCTCGAGGGGTAGGTAGGGGTAGCTGGATGCACATGGCCAGATGCGGGTCGATAGGGTCCGTGTTCGCATCGAGACTGTAAATCGCCTGTTTTGACAGCGAACTATGGAGCATCCAAACAAAACCAAGTTCTTCCCAATACATCATTAACAATGAGCATTTCAAGAGCAGCATTTCATCGAAATAAAGTCAACATGTGTTTGCTAGTTGATTTGTCAAAGAAATCTCTTCAAATGCCAAAGTATAAAAGTGCTCCAATCAAACGGCAGAGCACCATTAGTTGTGTGTTTGCTTGAGAGGTCGCAGTTGTGGAGTTTCGACTGTAATAACAAACGAGAGAAGTGGGGCCTCCAGACGTGACAGACACGATCATTTGGGGTAGGACTGCCTCCACTTCCGCCTCTGCTCCTCTGACTTTTTGTCCATATTGAATTGCCACTGATTGATCTAGATGTCCATTATATCTGCAACTGCTGCTGTGTGTCGTTTTGCTTCGACTGCTTTGTCGGGCCGGGTATTCTGTTTACATTTGAGAAGTTGTCTTGCCGGCAGCACTTTCCCTGCGAGGGGAAGCCAATCCGGAGACAAAGGCACTCAGCACTTGAAGATCGTCGCCAGATCTGCGTTCGAGCCAATGCTGAATCGATTGAGACTCGAGTGGGTCATCGAGTGGGTATCGCATAAGTGATTGGTGCGGGTTGGAAAGTGCTCTGTTTCTCGTGGCAGCGATGGACAGAGATGTATTTATGCCTAAAAGTATGCCCCGACAGTTGTACCAACTTAAGAAATCCATTCTCCGTGTATTTCAAACACTGACGGGCACATTGTATACCGAGTGATTTTTGAAGTGACACACCAACTTATGCATTCATTCTCCCCCTCCTACTTGCAGTTGGACAACCCTTCCTGCCACATTGCCAGCCAAAGTTATTGGTTAACAGTAGAGACTGCCATTGGACGACTCGGAGCCCCAACGAAGGTAAGTTGACCCGCCCGGAGCACAGACAACCAAATGAAGCAGGCACTTCTGCATGGAAGGCAAGGAGTCGGCGGTGACAACGAGAATGTCCTTTGTGTTTTGTGTCGAGGGCTCGGGCCAAAAGTGAGGGATGGTGCATATTAAGCGTTTGCGGTTCCTGCTGATTTGCTTTTGTAATGTGAAGGACATCTAGCGAACCCGCTGGTATTCCACTGTACACATAACGAAGCACAGTTGAGCACAAGGAATGGGCGTCTTCTAAATCTTCCGCTGTCTGCCCGTTTTCCCAACCCTTTCGCATTTTCTGCTGCCTTTCAGGGTAGAAAAGAAGGTAGTGAAAAGCTGACGACGCTCCTACTGAAGCTGATAAAGTGTGCTCGGTGTCTGGAGCCCCAATTTTCCCCCATTTCCCCTCTTCAGCTTTCCTCTTACGTTTCAAGTTCGCACTCATTAGACATTCCACTTGCTCCTGAGTGTATGCCTTGTACAATGTGCCACACAATTTTCTGTTCCCCCACAAGTATGCAGGAAAAAGTGATCCGTAGGCCGGCAACTTTGTGGCAGGGGCGGCTTTAAGCGGCCGATTGATTAGCATCTTCATGCTAATTATGGTATTTCCCTATCTTTGGCGATGATCAGCCGCGGAACTTTTGTTTTTAGTCTGCTAGCCACTAAATAGCGAAAACTCTCTAGTTTCGATAAAGCAGTCTGCTTATATTTGGGCACTTTAAATTATGCTCAACAGTTGGGCATTTCTATTTGGCGCAGAAATGTATCCGAAAGTTAAGCGGCATTCAATAAGCTTTTTAGGCATTCGTTCAAAATGTGTCACACTTGTATTCAAATATTGTGGAAATCATAATAAGCACTGCTGATATTTTGTTAGACCACGTCCATGTACTAAATGCGATGAACTCCCTCTTGTTTGGGAATGAATTCGACACATTCCACCAAACCAAGTATTTCAGAAGTTCTGGGATCGAAAATTGGGGCCCGAAGGAGGACGGTGGCTTGGGGAGGAAGGAACGAGGCTTTTGGGATGCCGCAATCACGGTGCTGCAATCTGTTCCACTGCTCGACGCACTGCGGACCGCAAAGTTCAACGGAGCCACCGCGGAGATGTTGCCACACATTCGCCGGATCGGTATGCTTGCCTGGCCAGCTTAGCGTAACCCGTTTCCTCGGCTTCCTTGGCTTCCCTGGCTCCGCTTCCCTGACTGCTGTGACTTCTCTGGCTCACTGGCGAGTTGGCCCAAAAAAACACGTTCTCGCTCCCGTCGTTTTTCAAATGAACAACAAAGCAAAAATGTTGCCCCCTGCCAAAGATGCAACTGCCGCAACCGTTTGCATATGGCCAGTTCACAGCGAGATGGGGGGCCTAGTGGGAGTGGTGGGGGCTGCTGGGGATGTCGGCGACTGCTGAAACTGGCGGAACAGCTCGGAAATGTGTCATCAGTCGCCGGACACACGCGACGCACTGAAGCTGCAGATTAGTGCAAATATTTCGCACGAATACGAATACGAATACGAATACGAATACTTCATGAACATTAGCGCGGCTTCCGTCACGGGATCAACTAATGCACTTGTAGAGCCGTAACTTTGCGTATTCATTTCCTGAAGCTAAAGCCCTCTGTCCACGCGCCACGCCCCCGCTGCGGAAAAGACGACGCCTACGCGCATACTCGTACATATTTTCATAATATTAACGCAAACATTTCATTGTCTACCGCTCGCGCTGATCGCTGATTGCCGGCTGGCGCTCATTGACTTTAATGATGAGCCGCAAGCGTGCGTTGGCAGGGTATTTATCTCTTGGGAGGTGGACAGGATCGTGGGTGTTTGGCCGGCGACTTGGCTCAGCTTGGCTTAATTACAAACTGAGGGGATTAGGCCTCTGCTTGACGCTGAGGGCTAATTAGCGGCATTTTGACTTCGATACTGGCCAAATTGGGAGATCATTAGCAGGTGCTTCATGGCTCATCCGATTGGCTTGGGAGTCGCGATCGAGGGCGGTAAGCTGCGCAGAAAATTTCCCCGTCAGCACTCCGAGTACTTTTCGACGAACACAGCTAGCGTCACCAGGTGTGCCCATCCCTCCGGGCCATGCCTAGTCCAAGTCCGACTCGGAGTGCCAGCCCAAGTGCAAACCAGTGCTGTAGGTCAAGGCTGGGCGCGGCGGGCGTTCCATGTGGACGTCGTACGTGACGTCTGCTGCCACTTGCAACCCGCAGGTGAAAGCCCCGCTACAAGGCGGCGAATCGTGGAGCTTCAAGGGGAAACCCTGTGCAATGGCACATAACCATTCAACTTGGACATGCGAGTTAAAGATCTAAAACCATTTGATTTGTAGCCACAGTCCGCGCCCAGCCATTTACGACCAGTGACTCTTCTTCTGCTTAGAAAGCCGAGTGAGAGGGCCTCAGTGGCAGAAAGAGACCGGAGACGCCACCAGACGGCTGCACTATGGGAACCTGCAAGCTCAGCACGTAGAAAACAACAGAAATTCGCCTGCAGTTGGCTGTTCTTCTCCGTATTGTTACAATTCTCCGCGCGGTTTATATTTTGTAGTTTATGGGTAGCTTCTGGTCTGGAAATTTTGGGCCTGGGAACAACGAGTGTGCCTGATCTCGTGAGATGTGTGTTTGGTGTCTGCCAGCTGAACCGCACTTTATGAGCTTTCTCTGGACTCAGATGAAATATTACAATCACTTGTATCGCAAACTGTATAGTTTTGCATTTGGAGAAGGAATTTTTGAAACACGTACATATTGCATGTAATTCTCTTGAAATTGAATTGTGAATACCTTACTTATATGCTTTTGGGCAAAGCTGCATATTTAATCATACAAGTATTTAAATGCATGTATGAATTCCTTAGACGTGGAACCTATCTCATCTTCATACTGGTATCTGCCTTATTTTTCCAGCGGTCGTTTTACAAATTAATTGCTACGCCTTTTAAATGTTAATCAAAACATAGGCAACCGTAAAATTATTAACCACACACCACGCACACCGAGATATTTGGTATACCAAATTTGGAAAAAACCGAAGAGATTTCTTGTTGTTGCCGGTCATTTGCTGGGATCTTCGGACGCCTTTGAACGTTATTTACGACCAACTTAGGTTTTTTATAATTCAAATCTTATTTCACCCTAAGCTGCTGTGGTGCTTAGGTGTGTGCAAAAATCGCTGCATAGAAATTTGTGCACCCCAAATGGACAACAGCACTGGCATCCAAGAAAAAAACACTAAAATGCCGAAAAGTTGAGATGAAAGAAACAAATTAATTGATGGGAATTTCTTTTTAGTCTGCGCTGGATGGACTGAGATGCGAAGCCATCGAATGGCTGGGTTGGCTGCTGCCTGTCTTTGGTCGATTTGCATATTTAAATAGAAATCGAAAGCATTTGGGTTTTAATTTTGTTGTAGTCCCCTCGCTTTCTTCGTTCCCCCGCCCGACTCGCTTCTAATTTGCTGGCAGAAGAAACAATGGGCTTGGGATTACGTAAACGTGGCCAGTGTATTGAAGATCAAACAGGTACCACATGGGAGTCCGATTTCTGGGCCGCCTTTGCTTTGTCCATTTCTTTTAGCAACATTAAGTAATGCTAACGGTGCGGCTAAGTTAGCGCGTGAGAAGCTGGGACTGTTGTTAGATTCAAAGCGAGTATTAACACAATGAACAGGGGATACGACAGATTGTAGGAAATTCTATGCTATTCTGCACTTATCTTTGAGCCTTTGTAATGCGGAGGGCTTAACTTCGATGGCAATCGATTTGGCCAAGGCTAGTTTGGACAATCTCCACTAAAGCGCTGGCATTGGAACAGCAATCAAAACAAGCCGAAATGGCTAGTTTCCCACCTGGAACGCTCATCCCGCATTGACACATTTCGTTGGCCCCAAAACCAGAGATCGCCAATAACAATAGCAATAACAATAACAATTACAGCGATAAAAACTGGACAACCGAAATGATTACCCAAAAGCCAGCCAGCAAATGCAATGTTTGACTTTGTTGTAGGCATTTCACGCACTCACGTTTTTTAATGCAATCCCCACTCCGGCAATGAAAAAGTGGAAAACCGCAGTCGGAAACCCCGTTCCCCCGTTCCCCCGCGTCCCCCTTCCCGCTTCTGGGCACATAAATATAATTTTACGACCGCAGCGCAGTCTCTCGTTCATTTTCGCGTCTGCTGTTACATTAATATCGTTGTGTTGTTTGCTGCGGCTTTCCAGCATCAACAATTAAAACTACTAAAATTAAAACCCAAAGTACTTAAGAGGCGAAATGATTCTGAACTTGACTTTAGTTTCCAGGGAAATGGTGTGCTAAAGGGCAAAACTAATAGCTGGGGAATCTAATGCACTTTGGCAATCAATAAACGATTCCTTTACGACAGTTTCGGGGGCCCTTTAATGCTCCAATAGCATTTATATATTTTAATTGCACACTTAATGGCGTATTAAAGGTTTTCGCAATCCAAGTGGTCGATGATGTCAACTAGAAAACTTTTACCTATTCACTTGGGTTGCGCCCCCTAAAATGTTTATTGGCAAACGATGAAAACAAGAAAACGCAAATTTAATTATACCCGACACTCGTAGAGTAAAGGGGTATGCTAGATTCGTTGTAATGTATGTAACGTGTAGAAGGAAGCCTTTCAGTCTCCTCCGAGTGCGAAGTCTTTCAGAGTGATTTCCCTAAAAATCGGTCTATTAAAGCCAAGTTCATTAGAATGCCAAATCTTTCAATTTCTACATGCAACATGTATGAATGCAACATCTGAATCAATCTAGCGCTGCTCTATCTGAGTAACGGGTATCCAATAGTCGCGACACTCGACTATAGCGTTCTCTGAAGTTTTTATTTTGATTTCTGAGTCATTCAACCCGCGCCGCTGAGCAAAACTTTCATATGGGAAGTGCTGGCGAGACTTTCTTCAAAATTTGAAATACTCGTGCGTCAAGTCATCCACAGTCCACAATTTACCACCAGGGCCCCAAACGCCCCTTGTGGGGTGGGTGAAACCGATATTAGCTGAGCGGAATAGTTAATTAAGGCATACGCGACATATGCTAATGTCGCCGAATGTGCATATCAATTTGTCAGTCGCTCGGCCAACTCCTCGCCCGTTTTGGCCAAAGAAGCCGCTGGCCGCCAGCCCGTAATCAGTAATCCGTAAGCCGGAAAGAGTCGGGCCAATCGACGGATATGCGAGCGAGTGGCAGATGCGGGTGATCCGCCACTGGGAGAGGCAGCTGTCAGCGATTATTATAATAATTTCATCGAGAGATTTATTCAGCTTTGTGGGTTCCTTGGTGTCGTTCCATCAAGTTCGTTGCCTAAGTCTCTTGTTTTGCCACCAGAAGGCTCAAGAAACTGTCAAGTAGATTAGTCGCATCACATCAGTTCTCGCGCCCTTCACCTATCCGCCCCCCCCTTCCACCACCCCTCTCCCCTAGTCAGTCCCACTTGTCATTTAGTGGGCGTGCGCAAGAGAGAGTCCGAAGGAAAAGGACAGGGCGAACAACACTTGTTTGACTTATTGACTTATTCATGTCAGGTGCGAGCACGCGGACAAATTGTTTGTATATTTCTCCATTTCGCTGTGATTTCTGCCCGGCAAGAATATTAAAAGGCCGTACTTTCATGCTTTCTAGTGAAATTGAAAACGCATTTAATAATAAACAGCCGAAAATAAACAAATTGAAGAAGAGGCCGTGGGCAAAGTTTCACTTTCAACCGCCGTCTCTGTACCTTTGGATTTTGTATGCCCAAGAGGAAAAATCTGATTTTACAAGATTTCGGGCTGCGGCAGATCAAGTGAAATAGGAGCATATGCGATTAGCTGGAAATGAAAAAGGGGTTGGGCGGAGGGCGTGCCTGGAGATAGGGGCGAACCAAATCAGATTAGCCAGGGAACTGAAGTGGGTTCTTTGAGTGATTGCGTCTGCCTCATGCTCACGTTTTCTTAGCCCATCGACAAAAAGCTGCTAATGGGCAATAATGTCTGGCTGCATCACATAATGGCCAAGTAATTGTGATCGAAGCGTGGTGGCTTTCGGATGAGTTGGCACAACACCCATAAAAAGCCGGAGCCCTGCGAGTGGCAAATGGAAATGGTAGAGTCGATTCGATTTGGCTTGGGTTAGGCTGGGAGGATTGCATTAATCAATAGGGAGACTACCACTCCGACTACCTATGACTATGACGGATTTCTACTAATTTGCTTCTCGCCACTCTCCTCTTCTACTTGCAGCCAAAGACTAATCCCACAACGAAGCCAATTAGCAATAAGAGGTGAGTAAGAAATCAGCAAGAAGGTTCGTTGCCCAAGAGGCAGATGGTCGAGCAATTGTCGTTAACTCTAGAAATTCGTTAAAAGTGTGCTTTACAGCCCTTAGATCTGTTATACACCCCAGAATAGTTGCTCTTCTATTCTCAATGATCAAAAGTTTGGGGTATTAGAAGACATATCATACCATTGGTATCATCTTAAGCTCACCTCTCCAACTGTACAGGGTTTTAAAAAAGCATAAAAAGGCGCAAAAACGGCAGCCAAAACAGCTGAAGAACGGATGGCCACCACATGCCGTCGACTCCAAATTGAATGACCGTCAACATTCGGTATTTGGCCAATGATCGGCGGTATAAAACAACAGCATTGGCTTTAATAAGGACCGTTACATAAAAAAGAGATGAGAATCGTTGCTGAAATTCGGGAAGTGGGCAGAGGGGGTATTTTTACACGGCGGTATTGCCATGATATTTGATTTTATGCATGACACTTGCAAAAACGAAACAAAAGAGAGGGAATAACAAACTTTACTTGTGACGACCTTAAATGGTTTTTGACTTTGACTTCGACTCTGGCTTTGAGCCCACAATTGCCAAAGTTACCGGTGAACATGGCTATGTGCATGTTTCCGAACAACTTATTGAGTGGACTAACAATTGTATTGTCCGTTGTTTGCGGCTGATTTGCCAGAGCTAATTAAGTTGTTCGATTATACTAGACTGTTCGGCAGTTCGATTGTTTCTCGCCCATGCTTACAACTCCTGGTTGTCCTCTGTATGTTTAACCTAATACCTGGTTGGACTGGTGGGGAATGCATCGCAACTCAATTCTACTACCAAGCCAGTATGTGCCAAAACGGCCAACAACATTCGAACTCCTAGTAAGGGACTTTCAGGCATTTTTCGAGTCACGGCAATCCGCTCGTAGCAGTAAGTCCTTCGTTTCGCACCCATAATTACCTCGTCAGCAAAGAAGTGTCTCAGCAACTGTGTTGTCATAAATACCCCAGGAATGCACCCCCACACACACATGGAAATGCAGCACCTCCGTCCACCCACCACCCACTACCCACCAAGGCGGCCCCAATCCGCAGGCCAAGGCGAGCGGTGCGCGGGCGGGAGTGGGAGTGGGACTGGGACACAGTGGGGTCTCCGGCATTAGGCACAGAATAGGCTCAGAGCCCGCTTTCTGCTGCCAACCGGTTTGGCGTTCGCGCTGCAGCCCGCTCTGGCTCTCGGACTCTCTTCTGGCACCTGTCACTGCCACTCTGTCTTGGCCAACTTCTTCGGCTCGCCGCGACGTGCTCGTGCTCGTCGTGTTGCTGTTGGCCAAGTCGCCGCTGCCGTGGGCACGTCTTGAGCGGCGAGCGTTCAATGCGCTGCCAGCCGTCGATAAGAACGCACGCGAGCGGTTCAAGTCATCCGGCAGACCGGCTATGGAAAGCACAACCTAAGGCTATAGGCTATATGGAAGTCGCACTGATTAAATCGGAAATTGTAAATACGCGCGCGCGTGTGCTTTTCGCGAACACTGTTTCAATACTTTCAATTGCAATTTTTTTTTGTTTGGATTAATTTTTTTTCGCATTAAGTGATTTGACAATGTGCAGTGCGTGATGTGCGAATTGGTGCTGCATCCCAATCCCAATCTGCGGCAGAAGAGACTTGCGAAGCTATAGTTATAGTTCTTGAATTCGAATTCTAGTGCGGAAGAGCAGTATCACCATGTCGGGCATGAATCAAATGAGTGTCTTCATGGATAAGATCAACACGGTGAGTTCCGGGGGATGCTCTGGGCAATTGGGAGTGTCAGTGGGTCTCTGGGTCGATCCACTTGAACCTGCAACAGAGTGGGCCCTTACACGAATTCGACTCGGTTGATTCGGTAAATGGGATCGCTTTTTTTTGCTTTGTTTGCTATACTGTTTATTTAAACGATATTGTCTATTGTCAAATTTTTAAATAAATAGTTTGGACAGGATGTCTGTTTGTGAGGCTCAAATACTAAAGAGGACTGAAGAAGTTTAACTTTTGTGCCGTTAAAGGCTCCTTACTTCGTAACCCCTTTTAAGTTTCGAATGAAAGTTATTGGCTCAGGGGAGTCCCTTTTAACTGCTTTGGTTTCCCCACGCAGTTTCGTGCACCTCTAAGGTTTTCCACCAGCGCGTCGCGGAGAGGGGTGGGGAAGATAGGAGGCAGGGAAAAGGGGGAAAAGGGGGAAAAGGCAGCGAGAGTCCACTCTCACTTGACCAACAATTTGGCGTCATTTGCATTCAAAAGTGTCGCCTAGTCGCTCATAAATAAAATGAAATTGAAATTTTTGCGCCTCAGTTTTCCAAGTCCCCTTCCCCTTTCCACTCCTCCGATCTCCAGTGCTCTGATGCCCGGGTACTCGACGTATTTTGATTGTGTGGAAATGAAAGTGAAATGCGCTCCAGCGAAATTAAGTGCCCATTGGCCGCCATCCCCTATCCCCTATCCCCAATCCCCCAATACCGCTCACTGCGCCCCGGACTTAAGTGCGCCTCAATGAGCTTCAATTGAATGAGCTGAGCTGACGAAATGCCGCGCGCCGCATAACAAACATAAAACAAAAATCAAACGTTAAGCAAACAAGTGGCCGCCGTCCGATTCGGCAAATTATATGGGGGGATGGGATCGGGATCGCTATTGGTATTGGTATTGGAGGTACTGAAAGTACTCGAGTAGCACTGCAGCCTGGCGTCTGGTATTGGTGCAACAATAATTAATTAGTAATAATTTTCGGTTGCCTCCTTGTGCGAGTGTAGAAATGCTGATGAGGCGTTCAAGCGCGGGGTAAAAGTTGGGCAACCTGAACGATCAAGCCCGCCTCCTACCGCTTCTGAAGACCCATCCCCGCACTATCCACCACCACTTGGTGGTTTTGATGACGAGCTGAGTAGAGCTGAGTGGAGCCCTTGGATTCGATATGAAATTAGAAGAATGGTAATAGACTGAAAACCATCGCACTGAATGTGCCAACCTGGGCATTTGGGAAGGAAAAGAACAAACACTGCCCAGACTGAATAGCAATGACACTTATCGCATATTTTACACCAACTCAGCTGACACAACACCTCTGTGCTTGTTGCGAAATGTCATAATATCACTTGTCTGTCCTACGCTCCATTTGTGTGGGCTTTCAATGACTTGTAGCTGCACTTCAGGCAGCGGCGAGTTCACTTCCTGGCGACATTCTGATGCCCAGAGGGAGTGTGGAAATAGGGAGGGGCTGGAATAGGTACACGGGTTTGCACCTGCAGCGCAGTTGATTCACCTGCTTAATTCGCGATCGGGGGATTTTCGCCATCGACTGACCCACAATTAACGGCAAGTTCCGTTGTGACGTCAACTACCGCAATCTGCGCTAGAATTCGGTCGAGCTTTCTCCGCGAAATCCGCAGGTTGCATAATATACAACTGCATCTGCATCTGGCCAACTGTAGGCATCTGCAACTGCCGCCAAACTCGATCTCGAACTGGTTCGTCTGGCCTGTGGCCGCCTTATTTATGACGCAAGCCGCTGGCGGATTCTAGGCCTGCCAGACTGACATTGGCCTAGCCCACGGAGTAGTTCGGGGTGACACGGGGCCATTCAGCAGACGGACTCGAATCTCACGAGCTCTGGTGTGCTGGTGTGCTGGTGGAATGTGGGCCACGTCGTTGGATGGATGGCTAAATTATCTCAAGCGATGGCTTCACACTTGCTCACCTCCAATTACCTACTATTTATATGAGGCACTTTCAGCCTGACGATGCAAGGCCTGCAAGTATTTCTAAGGCTATGACTGCTATGAAATCTATTGCATTTGTGCATGTGCATAAAACAATAATATGGCACAGTCCGTAATCCAAACCCTAGGTAAGTCCAGACAGACCGCCAAGGTCTCGGCCGCTCCATCTACTCACCTGTGGTGACCGCATCCCGGAAAGTTGATTCTCGGTAACGGGTTGATATCACTCCCTAGACACGGGAAGCTCTGACCCATATAGCCACATATCATTGGGCATAGGCCGCGCCGCACGAACACTTTATACATTTTCGGAGCCCATATACGGAAGCCGTGTAATGCTAATGAATCGCTGCGAAAGCAGCCGAAACCAGGCACCACCAGCACATGACCAAAACTAGACTGGGAAAAGTATGTAATAATTTCCTGTCTCAGCCTGATTTGCATGTGAAGTCCCCCTTCCAGCTCAATTTAATCCACTCGGACTTGGATTCGCAGAGACTCGCTCTCCACTCCACTCCAATCCAATCCAATTCACTCCATTCCACTCCACTCCATGCAACTCCAGCTGGCCGTCTTGTTTGACTTACTTCATCAAACCTAATGGCAAAAGATACAAAAGTATCTGCATGTAATGCGATCCATTTGCGGGCCACCTACGCTCCGAAACTTTCCAGAGTTTGTCAGAGATTGAAATTGAAATTTATGCGGACATGAATTAGCCGCGGCTGACCCGACTAATCAACTGGGAAAACATAATTCGTTTGTTTTCGCCTTTTGGCAAGTGAAAGTGCCCATCTAGCTGGCCAGTTGACAGCTGATAACGCTTTTGTTCGTGCCTCGGATGTGGATGCATCTTCACTTTTCTTGTCCGGCAAATAAGTCGAGCAATTAAAGGTAACCATTTCGGACAGATCAAGTTCTCATATGTATCGCGTTAGCTGAAAGCGATTCCACATGATTTTCTTGTTAAATAAGCATATATTATTACACCAGAAAGCTAAACGGTTAATACACATTAAATTCTCTGCCCAAACGAGTTCCAAATATATCCATTTATCCCATGTACTTCAGTTCTCATTTGCACTGAGTATTTATCACATCTGATGTGATAAGATTTCCCGCCACCTAGCTCTTCCACTCTTTCGCCAAGTATCTCCGCATCTTGGATTGCGTTGCGTATCATTGTCATTGTCAAAGCAAGTAAACATGCAAAGCAAGGCAAATATAAGTACGAGTATATTTTGGACGGAGTCGGATAAGATACGGATCGCGGCCAAAGACTTGGCTCAGTTGAGAACCCAGTTCTGGGCCAGGAAGATGCAAATAGACGTGCAAGTGGAAGTTAAAAGGCCGCCGCGAAAAAACAAGGTGAGCTGTAGATTGGGTTCGGTTGGGATTGGTTTCGGCTCGCAGGGGCCTAAGGTCGAGCTCGTTTTCCCTGACCCGGTGCCCCACTCGGCGGTGGAAGGGGCAATCCCAACAATCCCCACAATCCCCACCAATCCCCAACAGCGTCCAAGAGCAACACTATCCAACCGCTTTCCACGCACTCACGGCCGGCCAGGAGTTGTCTTTGTCAGGCGGATTTCACCGACAAACAAAGCAAGAAATTGCCAGCTTAATTTACGGCATTGAACGGACTGGACAGAGTGCTAGGAAATGCGGGATGGGGCAGCTCACGATCTGTGCGATCTTCTGCTTTGTTTTTCCCCGTTTCCCTTTTCGATAAACATTTTCACTTTCGTTTTCGTATTCGTATATTCGTATATTCGTATTCAATTTGTGTGTTTTGGGGTTTCGCTCAGATTCGAGAAACGCGCCACAGAGTTTTCCCCTCGACCGCCAGCCAATAATCACAATAATCATGGTAAGCGGGCAGTCAGTCAGGCCAAAACAGGTTGCCGGCGGATGCCCAGACTGCAGACTGCTACAGACTCGGATTTTTGGGATGCCGAACGAAAGTGAAAACATTCACCTCGCCACCAAGAGCACCAAGAGCAGCAAGAAGCCAAGAGGAGCTGGGGACGGAGACTAGCGTCCGAAATAAAGATTGAATTTAAATAAATTTCGTATGTTAATTGCAGTTACCATCCCCTGAACCACTGAAAACCCGCCACATGAAACTGAAATCGAAACTGAAACTGAAACTGTAAATTTCAAGTTTTTCTTATGTTTTTCACCTTTTTTTGCGAATGCCTTGCTGGTGGCTTACTTGAATTAATGAGGGTCAAGATACTTGGGCTTTGCTTTCGGTTTTTGATTTTCGGTTAACTCAGCGTTTGCTTTCTACAAAGCGCGGCGAAATGGGAGATCCAGTGATCAGTGATCAATGATCAGAGATTGGGGGCGCTTGTCCAACAAGTGAAGCTAATGAAACGCATTCATCCCATTCCCATTCGTCACCAACGTGGAGGTCAGTGCAGGCCACTTCCAATTTTTGGACGACCTTCAGAATGGCAGGCTTGGAATTGCGGGGAAAGGACCTGTCCAATGTATTTTCACTCCTTGAAGCGCCAATTTGTTGGTCTAGGGAACTCTAATTGGTTTAATAGAAGCGGGCATCAATTTTCGTACTCTAACACCCTAACACCTATGGCGCCCGGCTAATTTGGACCAATTAATAATAATAGTAATAGCCAAAGCAATGGTAGATAAATGAAACTTGTTTCTGGCCACTGAGCTCTTTTTCGAGCGGGGTTTTCTTGGACTTTTCCTTCTGTAGCCGGTGCCGGCTTTTGTTTTTTCGTATTCGGATTTGTTTTCGTTCGGCTTTTGCCTTTGACTTTTTGGCTCTTTTGCTAAGCATTGTTTTGAATTAATAACTTATATCGTTTTTTTATTAGCGCCCGCGGCGCACATCAATTGATTTACCGGATTAGCATACCTCTCTATAAATACTTGTACATAAATACATACATATATGTATGTGTATTCCAATGATTGGGCGACTCTTTAGCGATAGGTGTGTATGCGGCTGATCCGCCTTGGGATCTCTTATGCTTTTTTCGATTTTTTCGATTTTTTCTCTTTGTATCGAGTTGATTTTGGTTGAAAAATTATTTGCAATTTATGAAACGCGTTCGCTGAGCAGCAAGCAAAACGACAAGAGCAGCGACGACGAAAGTAAAAGTTCAATTAAATAAAGATAAATTGCACAACAATTGTTGTCGTTGTACTCGTTTTTGCTGCTATACTGCTTTTGGGGCCAGCAAAAGAGTCTTCGATGTCTCGCTTTACGTAAGCCACCATTAAATCCGAAATAAAATTTTTCAAAATCCAGCGACACATTCGGACAAGTGCCAAACGCCGCGCCCCTTCCCGCCCCTTCGCGCCCCTTTGCGCCCCCGCATTGACCCCCATTACAATTACCGGGCCGAAAAGTGGCGATTTTCCAATTAGCCAAGCAAATCAAGCCGGAGACTTAACAAGGAGCCCAGCTCCCAGATTTTGATCGCATCGACTGCAAATCCGAGCGGTGACATCGTCAAATTGTCGAGTTATTAAATGTTGAGTTTTGTTGATTTGTTGAAACAATCCTGAATGGCAGTGTCTTGGGGCATTTGCCAGCTGGCTTCTACAGAGAAAAGAACTTTGCACGATTTCAACCGAACCTGTGCAGCTCCAACTTCGCCAGTTGCAGTGCAGTGCCAACACCAAGCCTTAATCAAGTTGCAAGAATGCGGAATAAATGTCATTACGAAAATGAAACAAAGCGCTTGGCGCGCAGGCAGAAAAAGAGCTGGGCAAAAAGTAAAAACGGCGAGCGTGTATCTCACAGATTCCGCCGACAGACTCGCTTATGCTAGATCTCGGATTGCTGGATTCGCAAACTGGTTACTCTGTTCCTGGATCACTTGGGGGTGTACTGCATGAGCAGCATGCTGGCTATGCAGAATCCAACTTCAAGTGCCGATCGTGCACTGTCGCAGTGATTAGGGAAAGTGTGTAGCCGAGTAATTAATGGCAGCACTTGAGGGCAACCCCCTCTGCCCCTGGCCACATCGATGGGACTTGGTAAAAGTGTTTAGAGGCAGCCTTCAGAGCGACGCCAGGTTCTTCCGTCTTCCGGCAGAGTTCGAAGGCCATGGCGAGTCCATCTGCTATCTCCAATGGCCGGAGCTAACCACTTCCCATTGCCAGTTGTTCTGGCAGTCGCGGCGCGGTACCCTGCCCCACAGTTGGCCAATTAGGCCCATTTGTCTATAATTACCGCCAATACCAATATCTGCCGGTGGGGCACCCCTGGGGCGAGGGCCCCTCCCCGAGCACATTTCCCGCACAGCACATTTCGTGGCCTCCTAAACTTTAAATGTCAGTCCGTTCGCCAGACCCGGGTTTAGTTTCGCTTTCGCGCACAGCTCAAGCCGTCGTGGAGGCTCAGCCGAATGGCTCTTGGCACTGCTGAATACTGCAAAATTAGCTTAGATTCCAAGACAAGTTTGGGCTAGTTTGGCCAGGCAATCTTCCCGCGGGAGATGCCAGCATCTGTGTGTAATCTCAGCATAATTATACGACAATCATCCGACATTCTTGGCGTTTTTTGATTCAGATGATTTATCCACTATTAATGCAAACGCACTTTATGTGATTCCTTTGACAAAGAGCTTAGTGATTGAGACTGCAATTAGAGTTTATGATGTCATAAAGCCGTCTTGATTGATGGCCCATCTGGGAGGGAGCTTCACTTCCTACCTTCGCGACTTCCTGATCCGTCTGCATTTTTGATTATATCTGCACATTCTTATCTGCCAAGTGCACTTGACTTTCCATTTTGGCAGCTGTCCATCCGTCGATCGGCGGACACCTCGTCGACCCTCATCATTTCACTTTGCTTTGTTTTTGCTGGCTTTGGCTTGGGTTTCGGTTTCGGTTTCGGTTTCGGTTTCTGTGGTGCGATCGCTGTAATCACAATTAAAAAGCACTTTGCCAATTCGCTAACAACTTGTTCGCCAAGATGTTGAATGGGCTGTTGGTGCTGTGTCGCCGATGATTATCGGCCAAAAGCAAAAGGCAAAACACAGACGATGAGCGATGACCGTTGACATGCTGCCATGATGGCCATGTTGCCCTGGACGGGGCACAAAGGGTTGGCCGATCGCCCTGATCGATCCTGGGCTTGTGTTGTCTGTCTTTGTTGTTGCTGCTGACCCCCATCGACCGCGGCGACAACTTCATCGGTGCATTTAGTGAAAGTTGATGCCCGCAGCAGGAGATGATCGCCTCGCGGATCGCCGTGTCTTGGACTGTAGACGGACGTAAAAACACTTGCACTTTTTGCATACGTTTTTCGTACATTTTCCACTGCCTACCTGCACTGCTGGCATTTAGTGGCTTTTCTGATATTTTCCTCGACTCATTTAAATGGAAACTGCTGCACCCACTTCGACGTGGCTCGAGGTACCTGAACTTTTGGCCATAAATTCATAGCCTGACCAGGCTCTGGCAGCAGTATCGCAAGGTAGATAAACTGAAATACCAACTAGCAGCGCAGCTTGCAGAAATGTAAATGAGTCTCTGGTTGCAACCGCTCACTTAGAAGATCTAGAAGAGAAGGAGTCAAGTGACTGCCTGGATACATTGCTAGGCCAAATGAGTTGATCACAGAACGCAGCGAGCGGACACAGATAACCAGAACCCATTGGCCAGCGAGCTGGAAAACGTTTTCGGAACTCGAGTGCCAGTTTCAGCGAGGCTTCATGGCCACAAACTCCCGTTTGACAAGTCCAAATTTTCGGGTCACCGATAAGATATCACATACTAAATACAAATACTGCCCTGCCACGTTGCGTTTACTATATTGATTTCTATTGCCTTTGCTGTGACATTTTGGCAATTTGATTGCTTAAACGTAAATCTACTTATTTCACTAGATTCAATTTTAAAATTGATCTATCTTATCATTAAATCGCCTTCTTATATGTCCTGAATTTGGAATATCACACCTTTTTTAAATTTCCAATCGAACTGTATCCAAAAATAGGAATTACATTTTTTTGACATTTTTAGCAAATTAAGGAAGAAAATCACAAAAAAATTAATTTTTCCAAATCCGTCAAAAAGTGATGGGGATGGTTAGCGTTGATAATTAGCTGTCCAAAACTGTTATTCTCTCATCTCTCTGATGATTTTTATGGAAGTTATGATAAAAATTCCCATCGAAAATATCGAATATTTGCCAAAAGTCGTTTTTCCGACATAAAATAATCAGATTTTTGGCCACAACTTTAAAAATAATTGTCTGAATATGGATTGTCATACATCGTTGAGATCGTATTCAAATTTCCAATCAAACTGTATCTAAAAATAAAAATTTAATTTTTTTGTAATTTTTTGCAAATTTTGGTGATGTTACCCCTTACAAAAAAAGGAAGAAAATCACAAAAAAATGTATTTTCCCAAATCCGTCAAAAAGTGATGGGGATGGTTAGCGTTGATAATTAGCTGTCCAAAACTGTTATTCTCTCATCTCTCTGATGATTTTTATGGAAGTTATGATAAAAATTCCCATCGAAAATATCGGATATTTGCCAAAAGTCGTTTTCCAGATTTTTCGACATAAAATAATCAGATTTTTGGCCACAACTTTAAAAATAATTGTCTGAATATGGATTGTCATACATCGTTGAGATCGTATTCAAATTTCCAATCAAACTGTATCTAAAAATAAAAATTTAATTTTTTTGTAATTTTTTGCAAATTTTGGTGATATTACCCCTTACACCCCTGTGTACCCCTTACAAAAAAAGGAAGAAAATCACAAAAAAAATTAATTTTCCCAAATCCGTCAAAAAGTGATGGGGATGGTTAGCGTTGATAATTAGCTGTCCAAAACTGTTATTCTCTCATCTCTCTGATGATTTTTATGGAAGTTATGATAAAAATTCCGATCGAAAATATCGGATATTTGCCAAAAGTCGTTTTCCAGATTTTCCGACATAAAATAATCAGATTTTTGGTCACAACTTTAAAAATAATTGTCTGAATATGGATTGTCATACATCGTTGAGATCGTATTTAAATTTCCAATCAAACTGTATCTAAAAATAAAAATTTAATTTTTTTGT